GCTAAATAAATGAGTGATGTTAACATTGGAAAAATTGAAGTCATCAGGTTTATCGAAACTTTTTGTCATAAAGTTATCGTAACGTCTTTTTCTTGTAAATTTTTCCAAATATGACACAGTTTTGTCAGACTATGTGTAATCTTTTACCTCAAAAGGATATGTCACCCACTGAGTTGCGAAGTAAAGAGTTGATCCTTACGTCGCGGTTTCGAATCCCACTGTGGGACGTGGAGACCGATCCTTCGGATGAGACCGTATAAACAGAGGTCCCATGTCGCAGTAGGTGCTGGCACGAAAAAGGTCCCTCCCTGCTCAATGGCCCCGAGTGCCGACTATAGGACGAAATTTGCAGCTCTCCATCGGCATGTGGTGGCGTCGCAATATGAGTGAAAAATTCTTGAGAGGGACGTTAAACAACATGTATACAAACAAACAAACAAAAGGATATTCAATTTAATTTAGGATTGAAAATAAATATTTTATTGTTATTTGATACGATTAAATGCCACAGTAAGAAACTTCTACTTTTATGTTGAAATTTTAAACGAATTCTGCATCTTATGAATCCTACAATAAGTCTACTAACAATGGCGCGTAGTTGGTACTCGTTGGAGTTCCGACAAATTGTTTAAAAAACCTGAACTCTAGTAACTACAAAAATATTGTCAATCAGAAATTCAAGCATAGTTGTTATATAACCTTTGCAGTGCTTTTGTGAGTGTTTTTGATTATCAATTTATCAATAATTTTGCGAATGGCCATTGACATGGGAAGTAAATAAAAAAGAAATCAAGTGCCAATAGTATCAAAAGCTTGAACTTTAATATATAGTGAGAAAATATGTGTATAAAGTCTTGAAAAGTTGTAAGTTCTGATGTTATTGATTTAGCTAAAATGTTTTGAATTTTAATTTTCCGAGTTCTCAAGATTTAAAAGTGACACCACGTTTTCATAAAAATGTACTCTTAATTATTTTGGTAGCACATTCGTGTAATTTGATCCTCGTCTGCAGGTGACAATTTCATGCTGTACTTATTCGATTTTAAAGTTTACCAATACTAGTAAATGAAAAAAAATCCTTGGTCTTGCAGTGACCAAAAAAACCCGTTTATTTGCTTCAATTTCATTTAAAGGCGAATGTGCTACAGTCTGCTTACATGTCACTTTTGAATATATTTTTGAAAATGTATACAGTATTTTCATGTATTTAATAATTCTTAGCGAATACGCATATTTGGAGCGTTTAAAAATTTGACAAAATAAATTTTTCGCAAATTTTACATTCTGTTTAGTGTATGAGTTATATTGATATATACATGGCGTGTAGGATATTTGTAACATATTTATATACCGTATATACTCGCCTATAAGTCGGTTGTATAAAATAAGCTTGCATATCAGATGGACTAACCTCATATAAAACCATACTTTGAATAGCTCGCCTATAAGTCGGACAAAGAGTTTTAGACCAGAGATAAACTCCCCAAAAACCGACTTTTAGGCGAGTATATACGGTACAACATTAATTCGCACCAAACTTTACTCTGTCCCTTTGAAACCTTTAAATAGTTTTCTTGAAAATGTCAAGGGAAGTCCATTTTTTGATTCCTTGACCCCAGAATATAGACTCGGATCTGTGATAATGGATATTGCATATCATAGGCTTTTTAAACCCCAACGTTTTACTGAACAAAATGCAGCTAAAACAATATGTCTTTTCCCTAAACTTTAAAATGCCAACAAAGGAATTGACGCAGTTAATATAAGTAATATTCTTAATCACAAAAGGATCCAATCTTACATTCCACCATATTTCAAGTTAAAGATTACACCTTGTATTTCATGCAAATATAGATCGACTATTGCTTGAGCTTTTCAAACTTTCGAATTACAAGAAGACTTTACAGGGCCTGGATATCGAATATCTGAAACAGAATCCTCCATCGTGTTCAAGTTCTTCTTCAACATTTTACTAAAGCCCTGTTGGACACATTTTAAGAGGTGATGTTAATATAGTTAATAATGAGGACCTCAAATCGCTAGTCTTAAAAGATCCTAAATATAGTGAACCCCGATCATTCAACTGACGTCGGAATGTTATATATATTATGAAATCTGTAGAAGATTAAGTCAGGCGATGGCCAGATATAAAAAAAGAAAACGTTGACACTTTATCAGAATTGATTAAATGTATCAGATTTATGTTACGATCGCGTATTAAAAGATTGAGGGGTAAGATGAAAACCATTTATCCTTCTATATTCAATAATCCAGCAGTGAAAAAAGAATTAGTTAAATTATATGATCAGTACATATTGGTCCCCGCTGACAAAGCAGGTAACAACATTGAGTTCGTTTGTAAGGCTCATTATATAAATTGTAATTTAGAAGAATTTGGATTGAATTCTACACAATTCAATTTATACTCATAGTTCCTTTTCTTTGGAAGAAATTCTTTAAAATCATGTGTCAATTTTGAATATTTTATCCCAAAGAACCAAAAATAATGTATTTGAATTACCATATCTATATTGGATTCTGAACATGCATAAAAATCCTTACAAACAAAGATATACATAGCGAAATCCAGTAAATGTTCAACAAAGTCTCTTTCTTTACTCCTCACTAAGAGATGAACAGAAGTGATGGAGACATTTCAAGAGTACTGTGCAATAAATATTCGAGAAGTGGTGTAAATCAGATGTGGACACTTAAAAATCCCAAAGAACTTTTGAAAATTTGAAATCACAAAATTTTACCAAAGTCAACAGCTTAAAAACTTACGACTCTTCAACGTTATACACAACCATTCCCCACTATAAATTGAAGTCAAAGCTTTTTATACCATTGACAGCTGGTTTTTCAATAAAAATGGAACTCAAAACTTACCTGATCCCACCTCTGATGTTTCAGAGGTCCATGTTTTCTCTGCTACTATTTTGCATTGTGTAAAAGACTTTTGATCTTGATTTTTGTTCGTTATCTCCATATATTTAATTGATATCAGTCATAGCAGGATCATAACTAAAATGTCAGTGAATTTAAGATAGCACTTGTTGAGCTTATTATTATTGATTGATTTGAGAAAAATGTGGAATTCACAAAAAAATCCCAGGTATATCTATTCAAATATTGAATGAAATATTCCTTGTTTGTAGGATCGGCGTACATGTATTCAACATGAACGATACATGTTATGTATTGATATGTATCCTGTGAAGTTAGTTTGCTTTGGCGACAATATACATTGTATAAACATAATATTTCATATATTTATCATGTGACCCCAAAACGTACTTAATTTTATCAATTTGATCAACATGATGTTGTTTTCCGAAATAAAGTAATAAATTAAAAACTTTTCCTTGGCCGAATATTGAATAATTTTGATTTACTATTTGCATAAATTATAACGTTCAGCACCTGACTGACTCATGCATGATAGGAATGGCCAGGATTCACAAAGAATAGCCGCCTTTTTCTAGATCATACAAGAAGAAATATTCTCGCAAGATATTGCAGCTACAGTAAATAACTTTCTTTCTGAAAATTTAAATACAAATTACCATGTAACGCTAATTCTTAGCAATGACAGAAATTTGGGTATTTTTACATTACACTTATTTGTCGTTTAAAATAATTGGTACTTATCAAAGATTTTTCTTTTTATATCCAACAAGTGTTAAAAAAACCGCTTAACTTTCTAACTGTTATTGATTACCTTCATAGGTGAAAGGACGTTTACCTGTTAGGTAAATGTATCAAGACCTCATTGGTCATTCATCAGATCTTGAAGAAAAATCCGTTACTCTAAAGTTGATAACATGTACAGCACATTTAATTTCAGATAGAGAAGGAAAGCAATGTTGACACTCTGACTCGATAATATTATAATTAAATCACACTTTGTCCACGAATACCAATTTTACATTATGTTTTTAAAATACACCAAGCCGAGAGCAAGAATATTTGTTTCTGGTTTTATTTCTTAATTTTCAAAATACAACGCGTTTTATCGAGTGGCATCATAGACCTTAAATTTTTATAATATTTCTTCTCCTTGGAAAAGAAAACATTTTATCCTCATCAGACAAACAAATCAATGAAATCATCGTATTTCTTACTATATGCAATATTTAGACATAATCTAAGGCAAAAGTAAGTAAACTCTAGTTTGCAAGTCGTTGTGTTTTGTTAGAAATGGCTATCAGTGCCATTCGTTGGAGCTGTCATCTTGTTTTATTTCGAATTCATCACGCATGTTGTGAAGAAAGAAAAGCATTTAGCAATTTTCGTCAAGAGATAACATTAAAACAATTTGCTCGAAATCCACACGGGTCCTTTTCAGAAATCTAATGTGTCTAATTTGATGTCAGAAAAGTCCATTATTGTCAAAAACATACTGAAGCAAGACAAGAGAGTGTGGTAAATACAGAGAGTTAGTGTAGGTATTTTTTTTTTTGAAAGCGAGTAATAAAGAAATTTGTTTCAAATTAGGCAGAGAAATTAATTTCTTTTGCATCAAAGTTTTACAAAATGCAAAAGATGAAAAATCATATAAAATAACAATTATCCAAATAATGGTCCTCAACAGTTTTACAAAATTGTTATAGAAAATATATACTGTATGTTTGTTTTGTTTAATGATGTAAAATCATGCATGTGGAGATAAGGTATTCATATTTACGTAAGGAACTTCTGTACATGCAATTTCGATCATGGTCATGCCTTGATTTTGTTAATTAGTTTTGTCCATTTTAATAACTACAGGTGTTTTGTAATAACTAATTAATTATGCAATTTATGAGAAAAACATCAAAATGGTCTTTAAGAAAGTTTTTGATAAATATCACTTTCAAGTCATTTATAAAAAATATTAAAGTATAAAAGGTTACTAAAGTAAAATTTTAGAGCAATTCTTTAAATTGATTTGAAAATGGTTTGATTTTATCATTTTTTGTCATGAAAACGATGAAGAAAACTTTTTGAAATCCACTCACCCTTGTGTCTGTAATAAGGGTACCTCCTATTCTGATGACTGGTATATACAATCCAAACAGAAAAGTCTATGCACATCAACATCAATATCAAAACATGCATGTTAATCCTTCGATAAACGGAAGACAGCAGCAGGACATTTGATATCTGGTTAGCTGGAGAATCTTTAAGAATGGAGTAATGAACATTCTCTGGGTCTACTGGTGAATCGGCCTGACAGAATGATTAAATACAGGAGGGAGAAGTGTCGTACTTAATCCAGAAAGAGATAAGTAAATTACTTTAGATATTATTTTAATGTCGCTGTATATTTAACCAGCCTCTCTCTCATTCTCCTACTACTTTCACTTCATAAGCAAGTTCACTGATCAAAGAGCACGATACGCTTCGCTGATTCTAGCAAATTAGAAACGTGCAGATGTTTATGTGATAAATGTTGACAGCTAAAGTTATCAACGGTACTAAGTAGTATTGTTGACAATTTTGGCAATAAAATTTTCATTGGATTATCGATGTTGAATAAATGAGTTAAAATCTTAATTTATTTTCAAACTCTCACAGGAAAAAATTCAAATAATCGGCGCTCTATTTTCTGCTGCTAATGGCATCGGCAAATTTTGTAGAGTCCGAGCCAATGACGTCTTTTCCATTTAAAATTAAATGTTTTCTAATTGCAAACTATCAAAAGCTATCAGTAGATAAATTTTAAACCAATAGTAATCTAGTAAATTTATTGAAGATAATGAAAATGCTTTTTATGTGTATTTAAATTCATTCTGAAAACTGAACTGCTGATGCCAAAGAGTACACCTTCTCCCAAAGGAATTACTTTCTTCCTCCAAGACGTCTTATCCCCCAGTCCTTGTTTGTTTATTTTTTGCTTTAGTTTTGAAAAAAAAAACTTCATACTTCTCAGAAAATCGTTAAGATTTATCTCTTCATAATAATATTCAAAAGGTATATTTTGACCAAAGGCCATCAAAAATAACTTAAACTATTTTTCGAAGTCTTTTATAAAGATGCATGCATGTTATAATTGTACATACAAAGACAACCAAAAATAAAAGATACTCAATGTCCACTTTTAAGCATAACTTTTGATGTCATAAAGTACACATTCTAGCAAAGAAAGATCCTCGCTTCCAGAATACTTTCTTTTCCGGCCCGGTTAAAGTGGTTTCCATTATGTATTTTCCGTATAGAACCTCTCCACTCTAATTTCAAAAATTCCCATATATATTCAGATGATACGTTTGACGAAAGAGACTTTCAAAGATAACGTTACTATTTTCAAAAAATATTCAACGCAAGTAAATATAAGTAATATTTGATTTTAAAAATATAGGATACTCAACAGGATGTTTTGATTTATCGACTCGTGTTTTGTTTACGTTGAAAAATCAACACATCAAGTCAAACTCCCATAATATATTCGATATCAAACAACAGAATATTCATTAAATATTCAGGTTTTTCTTTGATTTTTACTTATACTTTAACAAAATGTACCTGACATATATGGTGTAAAACATATGGAGATAACGAACAGTATTCAAGATCAAAAGCCCAAAAAACAAAACAAAATGGGAGCAGAGCAAACACGGATCTTCAAAACATCAGAGGTGGGATCAGGTGCCATGGAGGTGTAAGCATCCCCTGCTGACCGGTCTCGCCCGCCGTGTGCTTCTTGTCATGGTCGGAAAATAACGAAAAAATCAGTCGTCAAACAGTGTATAAATAATGGACTAACAATAAGTAAAAAAAACGCCAGTCAGCATCTTACTCAATGATAAGTTTTTTTTTTGCTAACAAGGTTAATGTACGATCATAGAACTTACACAAAATGATGACTTTTAACGAGACTGCTGATATTCTTGTTTCTCAGAATAGAAATATTTTTTTCTGTTACAACGTTTTCTGAAAACATTATAATTTTGGAATTTGAAACAATTGCTACAATTTAGGTATTTGAACCCTGATTTAAATATATTCAGGACATAACCTGTGCACACTCTGATTTGAATGGAATTAATTTATTCTGGTATAACACGATAATTTAAATCATTAATTTTTGAAAATATAAGCAATATAATTGAAAAATTATTTTTTTAGATGATTTTTAAACATAAGAAAGATAATATAAACGCGATGATAGACAATAAAAAATACAAACCAGGCCTCTTTTTGTAAATAATTGATTTCATCTTTTGATTGAAATTTTTTAAAGAATACATATAAATTTCTAAAAGTTCTTTTTTATGTTCTTTGGTTCCTGAAACGCTATAGCGTTGAAAGATCAAGATAGAACTAAAAATAATCGAATACAGAATCATAAAAGCAAAATGAATATTGAAAAAATACATTAACATCTGGATTAAGAATTTATCAGGTGTCTAGGACGGTGAGCATTTTCTGTCGGTCGGACATACACGCCTTGTTTCCCATTGAAAAAGAGTTCCTTCAATTCATCGTTAAAATTGGTATAAACATTGGACATATAAATGGTACGCTTGTTTGTTTGTATGTTGTTTAATGTCTGTCTCGAGAATTTCTTATTTCATTTTCACTCATATAGAGCTGCCATTATTTGCCAGTGGAGAGCTGCAACTTTTTCCTTATACTCGGCACTCAGAGCCATTGAGCAGTGATGATCTTTTTCTTGCCAGTATCTACGGTGATACGTGACCTCAGTTTATACGGTCTTATCCAATGGCCACATCTCAATGTTGCATATTTGATCCCACAACGTGTGGATCAATTTTTCACTTCGCGACTCTAGACCAGAAGCTCTAATTTGCATGAAACATATCACCCCATGTAGAATATTGTTAGAAGGAATTCTGTGATCTAATTTACAAATTGAACATGAATGCCTGTAAATAATATTGATAAATACAATAGCTGTTTTTGCACTTTCGTTGATTAAATCTCCATTTAGGGTAATTTTCGTTATAAATATATTGGAAATCTACAACATTGGATACCTCTTACCAATTATGTTACAATTAATCATACAATCAAAATTTTCGGCACGACCAGGTGCTGTTATAGGCAAGATGAAATACACAATCATTAAGAATTCAATGCTTAAAAGAATTATGTATAGTGTAACCAGGTTATGTTTGCCTATTTTTGCAAGGCTCCTTGATATATCTTTGTCTTACAACCCTAAGGTCGTTTCCCTATGTAGGTTAAAATTCTAAAATCATTATAAAGATCTCTAGGAAAAAATCTTTAAAAGGACAATTACTTTCTTTGCTAGTGAAATGTTTACTTATTAGAAAAGAAATAATGTTTTATATATAAAGTAAATTGTTCGAAGATAAACTCTACTGTATGAAAGGATATGGAGATAACGAACAGTATTCAATATCAAAGTCCATAAAACAATACAAAATGGGAGCAGAGCAAACACGGACCTCCGAAACATCAGAGGTGGGATCAGGTGTCATGGAGGAGCGAGTTTCACCTGCTGACCGTTCACACCCGCCGTGTGTTCCTTGTCATGATCGGAAAATAACGGAAACATCCGTCGTCAATTCAGTTTATAAATAATGAACCAACAATTAGTATGAAAAACGTCAGTCAGCATTTGACTCAATGATAAATTGTATTTGCCAACAAGGTCATTGTATCGACCATAGAAGTAACGACATGATGACTTTAAACAAGACTGCTGATATTCTTATTTCATCAACTTGTTTGTCAAAAATTTACCTCGTTTTAGAAATTGTTCATACGTAGAGTATGCTCTTGCGTATCGAATCAACTGAAATACATGTATATATACTCCGTATGCAGGTGATGAAGGTATATTGCTGCATACGTAAAGGAGGAAAGAAAAGTTAAAGTCATCACGTTTGGTTGTTAGATTACCATTAACGTCTTTTTCAAGTAAAATATCCAAGTATGAAACAGATGTGTCAGACTTTAAGGTATCTTTTATCTCAAGCTCATTAGGATATATCGTATCGACGTAGGAATGGAAATTACCGTTGTTAATTGGCAATACGTCGTCAATATATCTAAATGTGGAGTTGAAGGCCACAGCAAGTGTTTTCTTGTTTTCCCGTATAAGATTCTGCTTCATATGAATATAGAAATATGTCTGCTAATAACGGAGCGCATTGGTACCCGTGGGAATTCCAATAGATTTTTGAATACCAGATCTCCAAAAACCACATAGATATTGTCAATCAGAAACGCGAGCATCTTTTTGATGTCAACTTCAGAGTACTTGTATGTGCAACCAGAATATGTTTTAATAAAATAATTTTGCAAATGACCAATGACCAGGCTAGTTAATTTACGAGTTCCATTTTTTTTTAAAAAGCTGCTGTCAATGATATAAAAAAGCCTTGACTTTAATTTAACGTTGGGAAAGGTTGTGTATAAAGTTGAAAAGTCGTGTATAAAATTTAGTTGAAAATCTTTTTCTTCAAATAGAAATTTTTTTTTAGAGATTAACTGATTCAGTACGTAAAAGCATGTTCGATGTAAGATCGATTTGTTAAATAATGCTAGCTTGTTAAGCAACAAACCGATGAAACAAGGAAATCAACAATTTCATTTAAAATCATCATAACGCAAGTTTTAAGGGCCACACAGAGCCTTTATCAGCAAATACAACCTATCATTGGGTCAAATGCTGACTGACCTTTTCATTCCTATTGCTAGGCTTTTATTTACACACTGAAATTTCTACAGATTTTTTCGTTATTTTCTGATCATGACAAGAAATGAGTGTGACCGGTCGACAGGGGATGGTTACTCCTTCTTGACACATGAACCGACCACTGATTGTTTTGGAGGTCTCTGAAATAAAAAAGTGAGAAAGTTTTTATGTCTTGTGAACATTAGCAGATATCTATTTTCCTAATAATCCATGAATATTGAGACTGAAGCAAATTATAACATTCACAATCTCTATCCTGTGTGTAAATATTAGCAATAACGATTGGAAGAAATATTTTTATCTTATTAGATATAAACAATGAATTGAACAAAAAATTAAAAATTACATACATGTCTTGATAAAAAGTGAAAAATATAAACAAATGAGATTCATTTCGGTTTAAACATCGATTGGAAAAAATACCTTAATTTTTAATTCGTAAAATGTATAATGTATTACTGAAAAAATGAATTTCATTTGTATAAAATATTTCTTTTCCACAAATACGATGATATTTTACAATTTTATATTCTTTTAGGAATAGCCATAAGACAACTAATATTAAGAAAAAGCAATCGCAACACATAAAGCTAGTGATAAACTCTTCTATAAGCTGTATGTTAATTTCAAAAGGTCTATTTAGATTGGATGCCATTGACACAGATATACTTTATTCGGTGTCATT